ATTTCTGCACAGTTTGCATGCATATTTTTAGTGCATTTCGAGATGTGAGAGGGTAAAATGACGTTATCCATAGAACCTTGTTTGCACAATGCAATGAAACCGTCCGTTCCCTTTGCGAAAATGTGATAAATAGCTGTGACGAACGTTGCGATAATCAAACAAATCATGCGAATAAATTTTGTGAAATAAACATAGTGCATTTTTCAGAAAAATCAATCAAATATGACAAGTGTATCGTTTAGAGTCAATCCGGAATATGCACGATTCGACGAGATCGTACCCGGCCTTTTCATATGTGGAGTCACTGAGTTGAATGCTGAAAATATGCGCAAACATAAGATCACGCATATTATCAACGCTACCAATGAGGTTTGTGTGAATTTTTCAGTTGAATCTCACCTTCACAAATCTCTTAGGATCATATGCAAGTTATCGCACGAAAACAAATTCGTGAAAATTCTGAAATTTGGAAAATTGGCCAATGCCTAGTTGTTTAGATTCAGTAATTGAAGAAGCGTAAAATTGTAGGTACCAAATCTGAAATCATTGGGTAACATCCAGCGTTGTAAATTGTGGTTAGAAGACACACCACAAGCATATATTTATCCACATTTGGAACTGCAAAGTGATCAAATCCAAGCGCTGCTAACAGACGGTGGTTGTGTTCTGGTACATTGTGTTGCTGGAGTTTCTCGATCTGCATCCATCTGTCTTGCGTACTTGACAAAATACAGGTGTCGTTCACTACGTGATGCCTATCACTGGATGGCAAAGAAGCGACCAATGGTCAGACCAAATATCGGCTTTTGGAGACAACTGATAGCCTTTGAACAGGTTCGAGTCGTAATTTCATTCATTCCACGATTATTTTGTGCTAGTATGTCGTAATTCTGTTTTTTTCAAATTCATCAGTGATTTCGTTTTGAGATCATTACTGATAAAATACGAGGAGCGTTCAGGAAGATTTTCATGCTTATCATCTAAACTTCATTAGGTGACCATATGAGAAGTCCGAGTTTAGTGGAGAAGTATGAATAATATTTTTCACAGCGTTTGTCGTTCATTTAGCTGATAAATTCGTTGAGAGTGTGAGTTGTTTTGATGAAATTCTATTGTCGTGGTTCAGTTGAATTTTAATCTCTTGATAAAGGTTTATCACTGGAGCGATATTTCGTTGACAGCAATTTATTAGTGTGCGATTTTTTGTGCCTATAAGTAGGAAGCTCACTGTGGGATTAGTATGTGTTTGTGTAGAATGCAGAAATCACCTCTTTTTTGTGTGAAATGATAAATGAAGCATTGCACAGCGTAATTCGCATTCTTGCTGCAAAAAACATCGCCTTTAGATGTGCTTATCATATGCNAAAAAAAAATAGGATCTCAATGCTCAAAAGCAGTATATGAATTTGCATTGTATGATTGCTCATAAACATTCAATAGACTTGCTGACTCGCACTGATCAAACCTGGTAATTTTAGGAAGTGAAAAAGTCACCAGGATCAGTGAGGTTGATCAGAGATGAATCACAAAAAGATAAATTATTGCCGGACGTCTATTTAAAGTTGGTGATTCCGGAACGTCAGAAGGTTTGCTTTCCATTTTTGTTTGCAAAATTCTGTAATTCATTTCCTTCCGGGTTCGAATTCGGAATTTCATTCTTTCAAATTCGAAAATATGTTTATTTGCAAATTTGGTGGCCTATTCAGAAAGTTGAATGAATTGATGGAAACTTAATCGAGTCGAAGTCTTTGAAACAAATCAGATTCCAAGATAAAATGATAATGTGGATGTGTTTCTAGAGTACTGATGAACGAAAAGATCATGCATTGGATGGGAGTAAACGTCAATCGCGTTCACCAGCGAAACGAAATAGTTTCCAACCAATCTTAGAGCCATTACCTGAATTAGTTGAAGCACATGCTTAACTGATGCGTTTCAGTTGTTGTATCTCATTTCGATTGTCTATTGTACAGTTGTGTCTGAATTTATTTCATTTGTTTTTGTGTGATACGTTTTATTTATTGCCGTGCAAATCATGTATATATAGTGAACGGATATGTAATATTGATATACGGTTAATTTATAGCACTGATCTTTTGTATCGTTATCGCATCTTTCATCTTATTTATCTTCTTTTACTGTACCATTCCCAGAATTCGGAAGACTTTCATGAGGAAAACTTCATGGAAATGAACTGAGAAGAATTCCAGAGCACAAAATCGAACAACGTTCTAAATGAGATGCTTAATATTGTGATTCAGGTGTGGAGCGTTTGCTAAAAACGTTCATTTGATAGGTTGGAAAGGATGTGATGTATTCGAGATTGTGTTTAGGCATTCTAGCGGACAATTATGTTAACGTACATTTCATAAGGCGAGGAACTCTCTTCATCATAGGAATCCTTTGAAAACTTCCATTATCGCAGCTGTACATAGTAGCTTATACGCAACGGTGATGATTGATCACTGATGAGAATCGCTCTTCGGAGCGAGCATTACCGTTCTCCACAAAAACGAGTTATTCATCCAGAACGCTGCGGTCTCCTCTGTTAATCGCATTGATCATATCGTATCCAAGAAACTTGGTACTTGACCATTATTATGTAAGTTCTGAGCATCAGAATGTGAACCATCACCGTTATGCGTTTGTATTTGTGCGTATCAATCGTTTATTTATTTGCCTTTGTTTTTCGGGTTCGCGTGCGATCAGCTCTGTGGTGTGATTGTGTTGTTTTCGTTCGTTTGCGAAGTAGTTGTTGTTTTGTTCGAGGATTTGTTTTTGCGTACTTTGTTGTGCTGACCGATTTTTGTGCGTTCTCTAATTCGTCGAATTCTACTCCTTGTACACGCATTATTGTTTCCCCGTTGTGATATTAGAGAATAATGGCGAGAACTGAAAACGATAAACAAAGATTGTACATAATAATTCAGTAAATTTTCTTGATAAAATTTCATCGAAATTTTAGCCACACAAAACTTACAACTACGATTAATCATCCAACAATTTCACAGTGCATTTGGAATAAACGATACACTTGAAGTGATGATACACTTGAATGAACGGATGAATTGTGTAGAGTTTACACGAACGATTCACGTTTATCATTAGAAATGGCTGGCTTTTGTGAAATTTCGTCTTAAAGTTTTCTTCGTTTCGGCTCATTCATCGAATGCTGCTGCTGCTGCTATATTGGTCAATGTAAGGGAGATTAATTGGTGTTGTTGTTGTTCAAACAGCATCCATTCCTTGAAGAAGACTCAATATTACAAATCTTCAGTCGAAGTTTCTTGATTGAACGTCGTCGGGAAGTTGTTTTCGTTCTGTGTGCCTGATCAAGTATTTGCAGGCGATTTTTTGCAGATGAAATGCTCGTTCGGCACATAAACTGCCACACACACAAACAGTTCATGCATATCTGATAACTCGTCATTCATGCGAAAACGAAATGAATTCAGAATTCCTCAAAAGTCTTGAGTGTTACTGCTGGCAAAAATTTTCACACTTTCAATCGATTTTTCGTTGCGCTATCGTCGCGTTAAGAATTCACGAGGAACTCGTTATTCTAGTGAATGCTTCTTCATATTTGGAGCACTCTCAGGGATGTGACGGTTATTTGCGTTGGACTTGGACAGATACGGATGCAATCCGAATAACTCAGCTGGTATGGTTGCAGATTCCATGAAGCTACGGTTGATCCATCGGTTGATTTGACTAACGATATTCTACGCTGACGATATTTTCAGCATCGTGTGCAGACGAGCGTAAAATTTCAAACACAAGAATCTTCTGAAAGTTCACAATCTTTCCGAATGGTGCATAACATTTCTTCATTAATATTTTCATGTTCCAGTAATAATTGCGAGTGGGTTTGCGCAAGATGTGCGGTACATTGTCTGCTCCATGTTCGCAAATCTCTCAATAGAGCCTCATTATCAGACAGCTCCCATAAGAAATTCGGCAACTTTTTCTGGTTTGCAAAATCATTTCGTATTGTGCCCGTTCCACGATATGTTTCCGTGATTTTTGATCATTAACTCGCTCCTCCACTAGTTCTTTCAGTTGATTTATTTCGAATTGAAATAATACCCTTTGTTCTTCTCAAACAGATAATCATTCATTCAGAAAAGAAATACAAATCGATGCACCGACTTATCTAACTGAGGGAACGAATGAATCTGATATCAGTTTTTGAAAGAGTATCACCATCTAACGATGAGGAATAACGCTTCAATTAAGCTTGATATATTATTGTTTATTTAACACTTTAAGTTATTCACTTCGAGAAGAATCGAGAATTCAATTATCTATAATTCAAATTCTAATCAATTCAATATGGACGATTTGAGTTGATTAGAATTTGAATTACAAATTGTTCTTGAAGTGAATAGCAATTAACTGCGTTTACATTTACTAATTCATGATTTGTGAAGTGCTATTTCTTTCGCTTCAATTATCGTAACGACAGTTCATTCAATGTAAAATAGTCGACAAAGTGTATGTCACAGAAACATTCGCTATGCTTCTTTTGCTGATTGCGATTCACATCCATCTGGTTCGACTCGTAGTGAGTTAGTTGTAAGTGCTGATTGAATGATTGAATAAATGAATTTATTAATTCCGTGAATGAGTCGTTCTTACCGAATCGAATTTCCAGTTTCCGCCTATTAGAAAGATGATCAATGTCATTGAATTCGCCACCGTACTAAATATCAACGCAATTAATCAGTGTGCTTTTTTTGGTCAAACAAAATTCGAAGTTTCTTCTTCGAAATTATCATGAATCGTGATTGGTGGGGGGGGGGGGTGGAAAGGGACGATTTGGTTGATGAGAAGAATATACTTCTGCGGATACTTCTAAAGACAGAAAGAAGTCATATATGCGAATGAAGATCGGAAATCTGACGGAAAACTTTGGTCTGAAACACTCATTCGGAAGCTTTCGACTGTAAATTAGCGAATGAATCGACTTTGCATTAAAATTTTCATGAGTTTATGACGCATTTTCTAAGATGTTGCATTTGAACATTCATCGTTTGTTGAATTCCTTATCTCGAATGACATTTTCCATTTACAGCTGATTCCTGACGGCAGATCATACTCGAGGCATGAAGTTGAAAATTTTTGCTCTCTTCACTTCATCAGTTTAGCCATATTTCGATTGAATGACATCGTTTCAGAAGGCGTTACAAGACGGAGACAAAATTAAAAGTTTTTTAATTACGCACTGCTCTGAATGTTGTTTAGGCGAGAGAAAAGAACGCAGAAGTTACTTTATTCGTTTTGATTAATTGCATCGAACGACTTCTTGATTGATGGCCGAATTGTTCGTATCCGCATCAAGAATACGGTAGAGGTGAAGAGGAACAAAAATAACAAATGGGAATTGTTGAGTGAATAAATTTTTCGTGATAATTAATGATCGTCACAAAAAATGAAGAAATTAATGAGAGGTGGCTGCAAAATTGTTTGATCAATGAAATAATTTGATTGGTGGCAAGTTCAGTGCTGTTTCAAGAGTTTCAGTTACGAAAACAAGAGAAGATAGCAAGCAAAATGAGACAGACATCAGAAGAAGTGCTAGCTGTTTCCATAAGACTGCAGTGTGTCCGACAAGCTCTTTTCAAGATGTATTTCACGTGCTTTCCAGTTGCAGTACATTATATGCCTCTGTCAGTGTATCAATCACGTAAACAGTTAACAAAATTTAATATCACTGATCCGCCAAGTCGGCGATCTTAAAATGAACATTGAGCAGCAGTTGGTTCATAGAAAAAGTTTTGTTTGCAGATCAACAAAGCACTCAATAAATAACAAGCAACGAACGATGATGAATCGATGTTTGTGAAACAAAAATAAATTCATGAGTGGATGAACAACTGATGTTTGGAACCCATTGAGCAACTGTCTAAAACTGTTGAACAATGCGTCTGTATGCCTGAAAGGAGCGTATCATGTAAACCATATTAGTGATGGCAATTTTTTATCGTTTATAGTGTCTTGACCTGGACGTAATTGATCTTGAATCGATATGCTTTTGCCATCTGCTCAATTGATTTTGCATGACTACCAGGACAGTTCTAGGAAACCATGCATTCATATAATGCGTGATTGACTGTACACATGATGAATGAAAGGTGTTGACCAGTACTGATCATAACCGATGTTGCTTACTTCGAAACTGGCGTGGCTTGAGTATCGGCATGAAATTCACAGTTTCAAGCAATATTTAAAATATTGAGGTGTATTTCAGCTGGATATTGAGAATATCACTGATGATATCGTTGGTTCATGCGTGGATACGTGGTTAATGACACGTGGTGAACTGGTGTTCTATGATAGAGGATTCCATTTCAGGATGGCATAGAGTGCGGTGATTATTCAAGAGTCCGTCATAATAGCCTGATATTGCAGGAACTCTGAGAAATGCTGTCGGGATAGGATCAAGAAATAGCAGCCTCATTAATGATGACATTTGTGAACATCGCGGACAAATTGAAAGTTATTTCGAGCTTAGCCACATTTCTTGTTCAGTTATTCCATTTGAGTTTGCTTTCGTTCGTTATCGATTCATTCAGAATCGTGCATTGCCTCCTCTGCAGGATTTATTCCAGTCAAGCCAGCTAGTCTACAGCTCCTCAGAAGTACGAAGATTTTGACCGAAAGGTGATGATGTGAGAGAGGGTGATGAGACACATATGAGGAGGGCGGACATTAGCAATTCTGCAACAGTTAACGAATCAACAATGACACATCATTGCAATTGTAAAATTATTATGATGAAAAATGCACAGCTTAGTGAAGCGCACAGGCCAATTCAAAGATTTGTCTTTAATTCATCTCCAAAAGAAAATTCTTTCCGTTCATCCAAGTGCCAAAATAAATAAGATGTGTTCGAAGGATCATATTTTTTTGGTTTTCATTTAATCATCTATTTGAATGTAGGGAACATAATAAAATTGAACCGTGGTCGGTGACCACTTTCTGCGTTTGTTCTTTGCTCAATCGTTCATTTTGAAACGCAAATGAATTGGTAAATTTGAAATGTATTAATTAAACTATTATATATGAATTTTCAAGGTCCCCAGCTGCAAAATTTCGGCCCCAATTTATTGTCATTTACATTGAATTTATATGTATGCTGAGTTTATGACAATATCAATTGCACCATTGTGTTTCGTGTAGTGTGGTGCGGGGGGGAGGGGAAGTCGGGGAAAATTGGGGCCGAAATTTTGCAGCTGGGGACCTTGAAAATGTTGTTGGCTCGAAAAAAGTCGGGCCTGTGAATTCGGAAATTGAGCCCCCGAAATTCCCCGATATTCACACTAGCTTCATTATACATTGTAAATTATAATCGCTCGTCACTCATTAAAGTGCTATCCGATATCAACAATTTATGATGGGTTTCTCAAGGAGTATTCAAATTTACCATTATTTTTGTAAAATTTTGTCGGATTGTTTTTGTGGCCATAATTTTCAATGGTATCATGATATTGCTCCACAGCATATTGTCATACATCTAGGTTTCTAGTGAGGAAGTGGATGAATGTAAACTACCATTCCAAATTAAAGAGGATTTTTTNTTTTTTACCAATTCAAACTTCAATTCACCGTTTGGCATGAAGATGATCTGAGCTCATGAATTATAAATATTTTCCAAAACTCTCTGTTATAATGAAATGAAAAAGTAATACAGTAGAAAATTATCAACAATTCAGCTTCATTCCTTGTTTGTTTGCGTTTTGATTTAATCGCTTGTAAAGCGATTAAATCAAAACGCAAACAAACAAGGAAAAATTAGGCTTCTTATTCATTCATTCGTCACTCTTGTATCAATGTTATCATTCTTAACATTCTTGTGATTATTATTGTTCATTGTGGTCAATTGTTTTTCGTTATTGATTTGATAAATTTATATTTTTTGAAAATTCTAAACGTTTTGGCTAGGTGATGGGGAGATGTGGGACGTCACTACCTATCACCACCCGTTTCTATCTCGTCACTGTCTCCTGAGACAGAGATAGGGACATGGACTTGAAGGAGTTAAATCAAAAACGTCCCACCCAATCAGGATAAAATTACGTCTTTTTCCATCACGGTTCACGCTTTCATGCTCCTCAACATGTACTGTGCAGCTTAACCATGCGCTGGACTCTGCTTAATGAGCTGAACTTCAAATGCAAATGAATATGGTAGCTGGTTCGTGACTTTTGACGAATGTTGCTTAAGCTGGGGACCTTTTGTTTATTTCAAAATTAGTTTGTGAAAGCAACCCTATTTGAGTTCTTGCAGTTCATTCAGTTCTGACTTTGCCTAGACCTTATGCAGGCATTATTGAGAAAGTTTTGATTCATTTGTGTATGAGCAACTGCAGTAATTGGGTAAACCATAAGCTGAGTAATGACACGCTCACTTTTTGAAGGCAGGTGCATCATTCAATGAGGACTACGTAGCTGAGGGCTGAATAGCCCTTAGTGTGCAGAATAGGTATACTGGCACATTCATTTTCGGACCAAAATTTGAGTTGCAATACCGTAGGGCAGGGGTCGGCAAATAAGTTTGGCCTCGGGTGAAGATTTTTCTAAGCAACTGACTGAGGAGCCAAAACATCATATCAATCAGAAACATATATCTGTATTTATTGCTTATTAGTAGGACCACATCTCCACCGGGGACTGGTGCTAACTTCTCAGAACGATATACATCAAATGTATTGCGAATTGTTAGCTCAACATCAAGACAATTATCAGAATTAGCCCATGATTCGGTTACACATACAATATCGAGTTTACGATGTTCGACTGGAACATGAGATCATCTAACTTGTTTCTGATGGACCGAGCGTTAATTAAGACACAATGAATGCTATACATGGAATGGTCGTATGAAGATTTCAATTTTTCATGAGTGAATCAGACCATACGTTTTGTTGTACGTTTAGGTTTTGGGAGACGTACATATTCATTTACATTATTCTCAATGACAGTAACCGATGGAGTCTTTTCATTATTTACAACGAAAGAGATTGAATGTGAAGGATGATGTTGGGATAAACCGGTGATCTCTTGTTTATTGTTTGCGGTTTCTTGTGTGTCTCTCTATAGTGCTTTGCATGTCGTGTGTTCTCTGGTCATCGTTGGCAACTCGTGACCGTTGTTTTGAGATTACCTGATCTCAATCACTATATATAGGTAGCTCAGTGTGATTATATCAGTTCCTCTGTATTAGTCAGTCAGTGTGTTGTTCGTGTATGCAGTGTTGTTGTTGTGTATGAGCCGTTGTCGGCATCTTTCGTCACTCAACCGTCAGTGTATCTTCAGTCTACTCAGGCATTATTATCGTCTTTATTTATTGTGCGGATAAACCATATTATTAATTGTCCCCTTGGCACCAGCAATACAAGTAGCGTCATGTACAGCGTCAGTCAGCATCACAAACAGAATGATTTGATACAATTTCAGCATATGAGTTGGGAGAAGAAACAGCATTTGAGTTAGGACAACGAACCAGTAGTTCACGAGGATTTTTTAAAGTAACAATTTCAAGTCAGCAACAACAAATTTCAGTCGGCCGTATCGAGTATTCAGGCTGTTGCCTGAGTTCATGGTCCTCAATTAATTCTTGTTGTGAATTATCTCTCCTAACATAACTGTGGGAAGCATCAGTAAGTTTCTTATGTTTATTGAAGCGAACAAAATTTAAGAACTCCGCACGTAGTTGTTGTGTTGGAAATGCTATCTTTAGTGGTCTAGTCCGACCAGCTGCTGCCTCGTAATTCGAGTGACGTTTGGCGGAAACTGACCTGGATTCAAGCATTTGTTGAAGCTCAGGATTTCCACTCTTGCGAATTGATTCAGCGACCATTTCCATGTCGGTTTTTGCTGTTGCAGCTGCTATCTTTTCATGCGGCACACCGATTTTGGCTTTTTCTTGGAGAATTGCCGTATCAGTGTGAATGACGCGTGCAACAGTGGAATAAGGGTTCGATGACAGATTTTGCAACGATGTGGCTGATAGAGCTTCAACGAGTGAATTAGTAGCAGTAATAAGTTGATTGAGTTTTGAGAGTATTTTTGTTCGTTATATATAGAAAACATGGGTTTAAAACAAACAGCAATATTATTGGCAATGAATGGGGTGAGAGGCTTTGCTAGTGCATTTAAGTCGAAGGGAATAGTGTTGAGTCGGTGACCACTGAAAATCGGTCGGTAATCACCGACGGTTTTACGGTGGCCTCCAACCGTCGGTTAATACTGAGTTGCGGNAGTCGGTGATCACCAAAAATCGGTCGATAATCACCGACGGTTTTGCGGTGGTCCCCGACCGTCGGTGAATACCGAGTTACATTGATTACCGACCTGTCGGTGCCCACCGACCGCAAACGACAGGGCTCTCGGTCGGTGACCACCAAGAAAAATCTTGCGGTTCCCAACACTAGAAGGGAAATGTATTATTTGGAGCCATAACAGTTGATTTGAATATTGATATTGATCCTAGCTGGATATTGAAATATTATTAGTGTGAATGTATGAAGAAAATTTATGGTCGCTATTCTACGTAGGAGTGCAATTAATCCTCATATGTTGTTAACGAGGAACCAATAAGGGAAAGATCAAACGACACAACCGCTCAGAGAGAGATCACCTATCATCATTGTTCAATAAGACCATGCGTGATTAACTGTGTTCCCTTATCCACCATGCTCAGGTGATTCGTGCCCACAAATCTCATAAACATCGTGAAAACTCTTTAAACACGACATAAAAGAAGAATTGTTTGTTTATTATAAGGATATATTTTGTCTGACGAAGATTTCAATTTCTTATGACAAACCGTCCCCCCTCCCCCTCCCCATAAAATAATACCAGGTACAAAAACCTCAAATCGAACGAATCCATCTCATTGATCATATTTTCCAGTTCAAGAAAAGCACGTGCGTCGTGGGAGAATATTTTGAAGTATTCTAAACCATGTTGACTATAACGTTTGTAATATTTCTACTTGCAAATAATTTCATGCGTTCCTGAAGGCATGTTTGCAGAAGAACGAAGATTCATTCGACATATATTCACAGAATGATATTATAATAATTTAACTATTCACAGAATGATATTGGCTCGACACATAATTTAGTCGAAGAAATCATAGGCCAAAGTAGAATTAGAATCAACGCATATGACCAGGCCCACCGCCGAAACCCATTCCGCCCTGACCTCCGCCAACTAAAATTAACATGAGATTTTTGATAGAAATTGAATCATTTGCAGAAACTGGAGCTTTTGGGAATTAGTTTTACATGTTTTACTGCACAAAATGAGAGATTTTCATTATGCCCGGGAGTGCAATTTAGGCTGCGTGCAATTTCCTGTTGTAAACCGATCTTTTAGATATCAAATTTTGGAGGTTACGGAACATTGCATACATGCTGTAATTAACACCTGCGTCCATTCATTCGTCATGCAGGAAGAGTATTCATGAAAAGTTAATCACGCAACACATAAATTACTTGACAAAAACGTAGCCCTAAGTAGAATTAAAATAAGGACTTACAACCAGCGCCACCGGCGGGACTAGGTCCACCCTTACCTCCTCCAGCTGAAATTGTCAAGAGATTTTTGATAGAACTCGAATCACTTGCAGAAGCTGGAGCTTTTGGAAATTAGTTTTGCATGTTTTACTGCGTGATTGTTTGAATTTCTACAAGGAGGCGAGAGACTTCCATTATGATTGAGAGAAAAATTTAGGCTGGGTGCGATTTCCTGTTATAAACGGATCTTTTAGAAACGAAATTTTGGAGGTTACGGAACAGTGCATACGTGTTGTAATCAACAGCTTTGTACACTCATTCGTCATACAGGAAGAGTATTCACAAAAAGTCAATCACGCAATATATAATTTGTTCGTCAAAATCATAGCCCTAAGTAGAGTTAAATAAGGACTTACAACCAGCGCCACCGGCGGGACCAGGT